CACACACACACACACACACACACACACATACACATACACACATGCACACATATACTCTCTCTCACACACACAGTCTTGCTAGGACTGTGGAGGTGGCTCATTCAATAAACTACCTGCTATGCAAGCATGAAACCTAAGTTCAAATCCTCAGGACCCACATTTTAAAAAGCCAGGCTGAGGGTGAAGACAGACAGAATTCTGGCTAGCTAGTATAACATGAAAAAAATAAAAGACCCAGAGACTGATATTGGGGTTCAAACTTCAAGGTGAAGGTCAGAAAAGCAAAGTATCAAGCCACTAGCTCTTACCTCTACCTCAAGTTGAATGGGCTGATCCTGCTGCCTCTCCTCAGCATGGCTGGAGAATCGGGAAACTGGATGTCTTCCTATCCTACTTGATATTGAGCCTTCCTATCTTCAGTGTGGCTGGAGAATAAATGCCTCCTACTGAATACTGAAGACCCTGCTTCTGTCTTTTATACCCCTCTACTGCTGGGATTAAAGGTATGTGCCTGGCTTTTATGGCTTCTGTCTGACTTTGCTTTCTGAATCTTCGGGCAAGCTTTAATAAATTATAAGTAATATATCACTACAAGCTATAGCTTAATCAGTGAACACCAATTCAAATTCAGTAAGACCCTATCCCAAAACTAAAGTGGAAAAAAAGGAAAACAACCAACATTGACCTGTGATCTCCACATGCACAAACCCACACCCATGTGCACACAAGCACATGAGCACACACACCAAGTATATACACCACACATACACACAGCAATACCCCCCCAAAAAAACTCTCCTGAAGTTGTTTTGTTTCATTCTTTGAGACTAGGTTTCACCCTGTAGTGCAAGTTTACCTGGAACTCACTGTGTAGTCCAGGCTGGCCTTGAACTCACAACAATCTTCAAATCTCAGCCTATAGACTCTTGTGGTTACAGTTATGTGCCACCATGCCTGGCTAAAAAAGCGTGTGTGTGTGTGTGTGTATTTGTGCATGTATGTGTACGATTCACATAAATTGCATTGTTCTCACACTCTAAACTCCCTTGTTCCACTTAACAAGGTATATTTTACATCCATCTAGGTGGACAAAGAATGAATCAATTCCTTTTTGTTGCTACATGTATTCCAATGTAAATATGCCATGTCTTTTCAGACAGTTCCTCCGTTGATAGTTGTTTATTCATAATAGCTTTTCAAAAACTACAAACAATGGGCACTCATAAAATGACTCTCTGATGTAGATATGTAAGGTTTTGTCTAGGGCAGATAACTAAAGATGAACTTTATGTGTCACAAGTAATACACACTTTTTGCTTTAATGGTGTCCTCTGCTGTCCAAAGCATGGCAATTTACACACAGTGTCTAAGTGCTTAGTTTCCTTGGGTCTTCATTAATGCTTCACATTACCAATCATCTTAAATATGACAACTCTGAATTAACAACCCCAGATTATTCACTTAAAATATGTTCAAAGGGGAGGCAGAGCACATTATATCCCAAAAGGTGAATGGAGAGAAACTTCAGGAGGTGGGAGATAATATCATTTTGATGATAGCAATTATTTCATGAGTGTATATGCATATGCCTAAACTCACCAAATCATTTATTTGTATGTGTGTATGTAGTATACTGATTATTCTTCAATAAAGCTCCTTTAAAATAAGTTTGAAAATATTGCAAATCTAATTAGAAGAAAATACCATCTCATATTTGCGTTTCCTCCTTAATACTAAGTTTAAACATTTTCCACTCTGTTTTTTTTTCCTGTTTGCAATATATTTTCTGAGAATTATTTGGTTCATATTCTTTGCCCATTTGCCCCATATAAGTTTTAAGGATACATATGCCTAGTTGCATTGTTGTTGCTTTCACTATTACATTTAGTTTTATGCAGATTCAAATACGGCTTTCAATGTTAAAACTGTCAGAAGGAGGACAAAGCCCCTGGCCAGCTGGGTCTGAGACTAGCAAAGTGCAGGGTCTCCAGCATGGCTACTGTCAGATGCAGCCTCAATGGTGCTTTCAAAGGGGGAAACTCATGATTACAATGGAAGAAACTGCTTCTTCACAAGAAACTGCACATGCCCTCCATTCTGCCACTCAGGCTCTGCCTGGCGGCTGGCTGAGCAGCTGCCAGGAACAGTCCTTTCCTCCCCACCAGGAGCTATGACAAAAGCAGTGTTATCTTCATGCTTTCCCCACGCCATGTCCCGCTGGCTCCCCATCCTCTTCCTCTGAACACCTTGGAGAGTCTTGTTTACCTCTCAGGAGGGGTGGCAGATGGTTTGGACTTTATTGAATATTCACAACTGGTTTTTCCAAAGGAAACCCTGTGTTTTCACCTGCCTATCAGCATCACTGCACACTGAAGGACACATTCTGCACGGCTAATGATTTAAAGGCAAATGCTCTTTTACCCAAGGACACTAAAATCCCTAATCATGAAAATAGGCATTAAATATTACTGCCTCTTTAGAAACAAGAGCTCAGCTAAAAATTATCAAACACAGTTCTGATGACCAATTAATCACGGTCTTCCTTTTGTCCCCATTTCCTCTCCTTTCTAGTCCCAAGGGATGGCGAGTAAGGGGAACTCTGGCATCTTTTCCAGAGGCAGAATTTCTGTCCTTTTAGCCTTGTCATCTAGGAAGAAGTGGAAGGGGACAAAAAGAAGAGAGGTGATCAAGGCGGACTGAATGATGAATGATAGGCGATTCTGACTGATCAAAGACAATAATCAATGCAGAAGGCAAACCCGTCAAAAGACTGGGCAGTCAGCTTATTGAGGCAGGTAAATAATCAAGACAGAGAATCTGAAATAGGATTATAATATACTGCAATTGCATTGCTATTTGATTTTTATTTCTGTTGAACAGACCAGATCTTCCTGCAGCTCAGGAGTCCTGTCACCTTGGAAACGTATTGCTAATGTCATGGACGTGGCAATTGCCGGAAACATTTCAACCTCTTCCTGAAGTTGCCACTAGAGCCAGCTGACACTCACCAGAAGGCAGAATATTGTTTAATTTTGTACCAGATTTGTGTCTATGACCAACTCTGCTTTCTTTAATCGCAATTTTTTTCACCAGATAGTTAAAAAATTCAATCTATCTACAAAGAATTATTATCTTTAGGCAAGGAGGAGTAATTGCTTTGCAGGCAATTGACACTAAGACTGTGAAGCACAATTGCCAAAAAAAATCACAAGAAATCATTTTGTAAAATATCACTTGTCTGGTGGCATAGATTCTAGATAAGTGTATGTATATTTTATTTGGTTCTGTGCAGGCATGTAGATGTTGTGTGTGTGCATGTGTGCGTGTGTGCTGGTACATATGTGTAGAGGCCACAGGTCAACCTCTAAGATCATTCCTCAGCATCTGTCCACCTTGGTTTCTTAGACAAGGTCTCTCACTGGGACCTGGGACTCAGCAGTTAGGCTGTCCTGGATAGCCAGCACACCCACCTCTACTTCTTCAGCTCTGGGACTACACTTACATAACACCCAGCACAGTGATTTACACAGCTACTGAAGATCAGACGTAGGTCCTGTGCCTGCACAGCAAGCATTTTACTGACTGAGATATCTCCCCAGAGCCTTAGTGAGTTTATTTTGTATTTCGTAGTTAGACCTGACAGACTCCCACTTTAGATCACATATACTCCATTTTCTTCCTCACTCCATCACCCTGATCTTCCTGAGGGTTTCTGTTAGTTCTCTGTGGCCACTTTCCTGTGGGCTCTGCTTTCCTTATCTCAGCCCTGACCACAGTGCTCCTCCACTGACTTGTGACCCACCCTGTGCTCCTCCACTGATGGGTGCCCCCCTTACCCAGTGCCCCACACCTGCCTTGATCCCGACCTAGCCAGATCCCAAACAGTCAGATGAGGAAATCAAGCCCGATCGACAAGAAGCGATAAGAAGGTGGAAGGAATCTGGGAGGCCTGTTCATTCTAAACACACACACACACACACACACACACACACACACACACACACACACACGCATCTGTTCAGAGACTCGGGGTTCCATTTGCCCAGTTAATAGGAGACAAAGGCAGTGATAACTTACTGAATTTGGGTTTCAGCAAGTTCTGGGAGTTTACCCAGCAACAGAGAACACAGCTGTAATGAGCTATTTTGGCAAGGCTAAATTATTTGTCCAACATGGGAGTCATTAGCACTTCATTCATTATGAAATGAGAAAACAGTGTGTGGATTCCCCAAAGGGTCAACTGCCAGATGAGACCTCAGAACTGAAGTCACTATAGTTGTATGATATTTCTTTAGGGATATAAAATACAAATTGAATCAAAGTCCTTTCAGGGAAAAATGAAAGCAATGTGAGCTGCAAAAGCTGCCTCTGCTGAATAAAACTATTAAAGAACTTTCTCAATTTGGTGGGCAGAAGGGAGGGAGGGAGAGAAAAACTCCACAGCAAACTGAACCAAAGTTATTCTAAAGAGATAACCAGATCTGCAATTCTAAGGCCAAAAGGTGTGCAGATCAAGATACTACAACAGCTTCTTCTGGCTCTCCTGGATCAGCCACAGGTACAGAAACCCCAGGAAGTCTATGCTATGTGAAGGTGACATGAAGGTGATATTGAATGACACTGGTCCCATATGGGTGACTGATAGGGGATGTCCTTCTGTATAAATGTTTCTCTTATTGGTTGATAAATAAAACACTGTTTGGCCAATAGAGGCAGGAAAATAGGCGGTGCTAGGAGACAAGGAAAGTTGGCAGAGAGAGATGTCATGTAGAGACCAGGAAGATAGGATGCTCCAGGTGTTCTCAGGTAAGATAAGGCCATGTAGAAACACATGGATTATTAATTATAGGTTAATAATTAAGAGAGAGCTAGCCAGTAAGAATCCCTAGGTATTGGCCAACAGTTTTAAAATTAATATAAGTCTTTGTGTGTTTATTTGGGGGCTGTGGGACCAAGCTGAGAAAGAAACTCCAGCAACAGGTGACCCTCATGATGCTAAGAGCTTCCCTTTCAAAGCTGAGGCCAGAGGAGCATGAACTCAAGGCCAGCTTTGCTTGTTCTCAGTCATGCCCCCATTCTCCTGCCTTTTGATCCCCCCTATGATACACCTTTTAAAGTGTGTGTGTGTGTGTGTGTGTGTGTGTGTGTGTGTGTGTGTGTGCGCGCGTGTAGGTACCTACAGAAGCCAAAAGGGGATGTCAGGTCCCCTGGAGCTGGAATTATGTATGGGCAGTTGTAAGCTGCCTGGTGTGGGTGCTAGGAAGTGAACTCAGGGTCTCTGGAACTGCAGCAGGTGCTCTGAACTGTTGAGTCATCTCTGCAGCCACTGAGATGCCTTTTAACACAGGTTAAACATCTTCAGTTGAAGAGCTGCAGGTTTTGAATTTGAAGGGGAGAATTTTGTTCTATTTGACCCAAACTACACATGAAGTTCTCCTCTGCCTTGTCTATACCTTAAGATGTATTTTAGCATATCTGCATTTTGATGGTGGCCCATCACATTAAGTCAGGTATGGAAATGATGTCAGCACTTGGAACATTTGAACTTTAGACTTTGAGATAAGGGAATGCTCGTCTCAGTATGATTTTGTTGCTGGGGATCCTTAGGTGACATTATCACATGATTCTTATTTTACACATTGATTCTGTCTACAATTTTCCATGGACCAAATTTCAGTTGCTAGTGTAACTGTCCACACACACACTGGCTCTCAGCTATGGTCTTAGCTACACCACACAATACAAGCTGGTTTGGAACACTCTCAGATTGTCCGAAGACAGATCTGCTCTTGAGAATTAGAAATGCCCACAAATCTAACCCTGCTAAAGCACACTTGTTTTCACATACATTATATATGTTTCCTGGAGAAACTCACCCAAAGAATGGGACACCATAAACCCAAGAGCAACACAAGCCTTCCTGTGCACATGGCACGGCTCTGTCTTTATCATGGTGCACTTCACATCCGTTGAGTGCAAGCACCCACCTTCATCTTTACTTTGAAACGTCAGCACTTCTCTTTGCTACTACAGACAAAGGCAAACACTTAGTACAGGCCTTTTGCCTAGTTTGTTGGTGACAGAATTTCCTCCATATTTTAATCTCTCCCAACAAAACCAAGAGAAGGAAAAGCAATTGGTCTGCTTATTATAATCCACAGAGAGGCCTGCATACAGTCTACAGAGAGGCCTGCATATACAATCTACAGCAAGGTCCTACATACAGTCTACATCAAGGCCTTCTTACAGTCTACAGCACAGTCTATGTACAGTCTTCAGTGAGGCCTGCATAAGTCTACAGCAAGGCATGTGCACATGCACACTGTTCAGGTTCATTCCAGGGATTTATTTAGCAAGCATTCAGACGAGAAACCACATAATGGTTTTAGAAACCAGTTTGGTGAGATGTACTGAACATACAGGAGTCTAGAAATGAAAGCATTCAAATCTTTAAATCTGATGAAATATTAAAGTGCAGACAATGAAAAAGAATCTCATAGACCAGCAGATACAGAGATTAGATCTGACATGATTCCTGTGCTTGCATCCAATTTTTAAAATATAAAATATATTATAGAGTTGTGGTAGACCATTTTATGTCTTTCTGTGATATTTCAACACTCCATCTGCCTACTCAGAGAAAACATCTATTTAGAAATTATTTTTATACTTCTATATTGCGGTCATAGCTACTATAAGGAAACTAGTATTATTTTGTAGTACAACTGAAATATATGTTAGGATACACACTTTGTGCTATACACTGTGTATAAATTCACTCAAAATATGTGTTTGAGCGTTCATATAGACTTTAACCAGTTTTCTTTTCTTACAATTAAAAAAAAAAATCAGGATATCCAAATGTTCTAAATTTGTCTATAATGCCAAGTCTGACACAATAGATAGGAATCAGGTATTAAAAACAATATTCACTTATTCTAGAATCATTGCCAACAACAATTTCTTTTCTTGTATTTCATGTATAGATAAATTGCTGATCGAATAAACTTTGACGCCCAAGTTATTCTAGAATCATTGCCAACAACAATTTCTTTTCTTGTATTTCATGTACAGATAAATTGCTGATCAAATAAACTTTGACGCGCAAAGCAAAGGAATGGTTGTGTTCATTGTAGTTGCCATCTGCCAAGTTGGTCTCGTAAGCTCCCATGAGCAGTTGGCTTTGGAGTATAGTAGTTACTCACCTGACAAAATCAGGAGTTCAATGATCTCTGCATCTCCCAGGAATGCAGCCACATGAAGTGGGGTTCGTTTCTCAGAATCCTAAAATGCACAATATCACATTAGACATCAGTCAGTGGCAGCCGGATGTTAGGATGCATCATTCACTCTGTGTTTCAAGCTTGTGGAATAAGGCTCATGGCCAACCTGTGCCTGTGAGTCTAACATAAACTCCAGTAACAGCCATGAGAAACCTCTTTCAAGTGGTGGTAGGTTGTACAAATGACTCCCCAAAACAATATAGACTGTGGCTGCTGCCATTGGGTTCCCCTCAAAGGAATGCCCCTATTGATGAAGGCACTGCACACTTAGGGCACACTCAGGACACAAGACACAGATTATCTGAGCCAGATCTAACCCCAAAACCCCTTTCTACATTCTAGCTTCCATAGTACCAAAAAGTACTATGTAAGCTGCCAAAGGAGAGGAGCAAAATAGTGCTACCCAGCTGTGATACCCATGAACCACAACGATGCCCAGTATGACAATCTATCTCTAAAGGTGCAACAGTGGCACTCACCTATTGATGGTAACCAGCAGCTGTTTAAATGGACTGAAGACCAATCAATAAGAGGGAAACTATGCCTGGTACCTAGCCAACCTAGCCCTAGCCAACCTCCCCTGGGGCTAATGAGTTCATGGTTCTTAGATGACAATCTACTTCCATCACTTTGCTAAACTAGCACAATTCTGTATCTACATCTAAATCTTATCCTTACACCCACAGGTAAGTGTAGCCACCACCCTCTAATCAAAGAGGCTTCTCTCTACAGCAAATTGAAAGCATTACAGAAAAAAACACAACTGAACACAATGCAAAGACGATCAGTGGATTGTGAGGAGCCCAGGCCCAAGGAATTCATCTGCAGCACAGATACTACGTCTATGGCTCAGGGAACATTACATGAGAAAACTGGCTCAAACAGATGAGAAAATGTGCTCCAGATCCTATGGACACATAACAGAGACAAGGTTAGACCTTCAGCTGGCAGGCTCTAGTTGACGTCCTCAACAAGGGATTCCATACATGTTAAGAGGCAGCATGATGACACACGGGAAATGCAGCCTCCCTGTCTATAAACTGGAGTCCATTGGAGATAATATCTACTTTACAGGTCTAAGAGGAGTCCAGACAATGAAAATAAAAAGCCCCAAATAAGCAGGAGGCCGTGCACAGCAAGAAGTCCAATCAAGGACACTAATACCAGTGCACAGATGCAGGTACATGATGATGGTAGTCAGTGATGACAAATGGTGCACAGGGTGGAAAGCTCGGCCAGTTACAGGGTGATAGTGATGATTAGAGCTGCATCACTCCAGCTTTGAAAATAAAGTTGCACTGTTTAAAAATGTGTGCACTAAAGTAGATTCAGGTATATTAATTTGGGCAATGAGCTATAAAAAATCCTCCAAGGTTGAAACTTCTTGGAAGTCAGTAAAAGCTCTTACTCCTCCTTATTCTTACACTGGTGGCATCTGAAACACTTGGTGAGCTTGAACTGAACCAGCCCATAAGCATGGCCTCTTCCACACCTCCCATGATAACTCGGGACTCCTGGGACTAACCGGTGATTCTATCACTCCTGCTACCACTTGACTACATAATCGACCTAACAACCCTTTATTAGCCCAAGGGTATTATTCTCACAGATATTTTCTCACAGTCCAGGCCCTCCCTTTCCCTCTTCTGTTAGACTATTGCTTTGTGAATTTCATGTCTGAAACAGACGGCAGGCAGGGGACATGACAGGGCCTGATCTTCAAACCACTTTAGCTGTTGGAAGACCTCGTAAGTAGTTTTATGGACTGGCATTAAGTGAACAAAGAGAGGAGCTTGAATTATTAGATGGGAACTTATGCATGTATGTGCAGGCAATACTGATAACTGAGAACAGAGCAGTCTGCAGCTAAAAAACAATGTTATAGGTTGGAGAATTCAGCCAGTAATATGACCATGCTGAGCCCTACATGACCCTAGCTTCAAAAAGAAAGGTCAGTTGCCTGAAAATCTACATACTAATATATGACTCAAGTATATCCTTATAGGCAACAAACTACAAAGTCATCTAAGACACAAATATTTTCTCTCTTCCACTGATTTCCCCTACAAATACTTGTTATCTTAGCTTCCTACTTTCTATGGGTCCTCACTATGCCTGCTTCAAATTTTCCCTTGGGTATTAGAATTATAGAAGTGCATGCTCTTTTGTGAACTGAGTTAGATTCAGGGCTTGGTTGAACAAATTCAACCTTGCCCAAGTGATTTAAACAATGATAATCCTAGCTCAAGTGATGACTTCATCTGAGCTGAAGCAAAGTTAATGCTCTGTTTGAGAACTTGGACTCAAATAAAAAGAAAATAAATTCCAGCATCTCTCCCCGCCTTGTAGATTTGGATGGCCTATCATTACATGGCTGGATTTGCTGATTCCATGGTCCCCTTTATAATACAGCTTGTTCAAGCTAAAGTTTCAATAATTGTAAGAAGGTGTGTAGTATGAGGTCATATTGTAAAAATTCTTAATATGAATCCAAGTATTGCTGTTAATATACATTCAAAAGTTTTCTGCAGCTTGCTAAGAACTACTCCAACTGACATTCCTCCTTCAGTGATGTGACAGACATGTAACTACAATGGAGACCTGCTCACCAAAACAAAATAGTCATGTGCTGGAAAGACCTTATCAAAAAATAGTGCATCTTCATTGCTGACCAAGATTGCTAACACATGCTTTCCAGCAAGGAATAAGCAATGTACAAGGACCATAAGCCAATTTCCAGCAAGGAACATGCAATGTAGAAGGACCATGAGCCAAGGGTGCATGACAGTCACAATATCACTGTGTGCAATAAGCAGAAACTCTAAGGTTGCAACACATCACTTTGTCATAAGCTAAACCAATGGTGTCAGAGATGCAATGACAGGAGGTGAGAATAGATCTAGGAAAGGGGACACCCATTATGATGTCACCAGAAAAAAAGTTCAACGATAATGCTAACTAGACTGTTTGGAAGAGACAAGCCTATTTGGTAATTATACCATGCTTTTATTTTACTTTTTCCAAACTGCTTGATTGTAAAACATCTGTACCAGGGGAGACACATCCCTGTGTTCTCAAATTTTATTATCTTCATTTAAAGGAAAAGGAATCTGAGCCCTGCACAGGTTATAGTATTCACCCAACACAGCAAATTGACATTGAAGAATTATGTGTCATGATTGAAATTCAAAATATATTTCTTAGTAAAAATGAAAGCAAGGACATCATCTTAGAAGTTCCCTTGGCAGTCTAAAATCCTTTTGTTCTAGGTTGCTTTCTGTTGGAGGAGAAAGGGGTTTATTGTGTTTATACTTCCAGGTCACAACCCACCATCATTGAAGGAAATCAGAACAGGAAATCAAACAGAAACCATGAAGGAATGTTGCTTACTGTCTCATATCAGCTAACTTTCTTATACATCCCAGATCTACCTTCCTAAGGATGACCCTGCCCACAGTGGGCTTGGCCCTCCCACATCAATCAAGACACTCTCTCATAGGCATGGCTATAGGTCAATCTGATGGAGGCAATTCTTAAATCATCCTCCTTCAAGATGAAGAGGGTTGTGTTGAGTTGACAACAAAAATTAACCAGAATAGATTCCCTCTAGAGTCCTCCCAAGAATCCTGGGGGGTGGGGAGTGATGAGCATACAGAAGGTGCGGGAAATATCCTTAGAATGGAGCTTACAATAAGTTGAAGAGAAAGAGGCCAGAAATGGAAAGTGACTTGGGAAGCAATGCTGGAAGCAGAAGGTGCTTGTACAGCAGGGGATGCTGATGCACCAGGTCCTTCAAATCCAGGCCTGGGTGTGGCAGATGGGATTCAGAACTGGAACTGAGACCTTCACAGAAGAAATGGCCTTAGAAATGAAAGCTTGGCTTGAAAGAAAGTCAAGCTTTCACACAGGCAGGTGGCAGGGGGAGCACCTTGTCCTAGGCTCCTGGTGAGAGCCATTATGCATCTGTATCCCCAGGATTTCCCCTGTGTGGTTTAGGATTTTGAATTTATAATGTCTATGTAATACAGGAACTTTCATATTGAAAATGGGTATTAAGCTTATAGATCAATGGTATCCCTATGTTGAAAAAAAAAAAAAACCTAAAATCTCACTGGGGAGATATGTTCTCTGTCCAGAGAATCTGAAACATCATAGATTAAATCTCCACTGAAGATGAATTTACAAGCCTAAGACAGAAAACCCTTGTGGAAACAATTCACCACAAGCAAGAGGTGGCAGACAAAGCAAAAAAGGACTTAAGATAACAAGAAAACCACACAGAAATTAGGATAATGTCTAAACTTAAGACACAAAAGACAAAGTCTATGCCAAGGGAAAACCACTGTTTTTTTAAAAAGCAAAACATGAAAGCCAGGTGTGGCAGTGCACAGCTGAGGTACCAACATGTGGGAGGCAGAGGGTCAATTTATCACAGAACTTCAAGACCAGCCTTGGCAACATAGCAAAGCTGTATGGTTAAGAAAAAATAATAAATATATATGAATGAAACATTATGGGAAGTAGTAACATTATGCTGCAAATTATCTAAAGTTTTTGTCTAAGGATACTGAAACTAGAGGGGGAAAAGAATATTAGAAGGAATAGAAATAAATACCATGACTCTGAGGTGTCATATTTCCTGAGTCAGCCATATTTCCTGAAAATAAACATCTGCATGAAGCTATGAGATGCCAGATGCTGTAGCCCAGTGGTTCTCAACCTGTGGGTCACAACCCCTTGGGGGGATCAAACGGCCCTTTTACAGGGGTGGCTTATCAGATATCCTGCATCTCAGACATTAACATTATGATCCATAACAGTAGCAAAATTACAGTTATGGAGTAGCAATGACAATAATTTTATAGTTGGGGTCACCACAGCATGAGGAACTGTATTAAGGGTCACAGCATTGGGAGAGTTGAGAACTACAAAATTAAACCAATCCAGTCCTCTAACACTGAAGAACCTTGGAGTCCAGTTGCCACCCTCCTGATGGAGGAC